AATTAGTTTGGACGTATTAGGCTGGTGGACACAGCAGCTACATTTTCTTATACTATTGATATCTCAGTAGCAGTACATGATGAACTTCACAATTTGAAAAATAAACAGCAAGTCATATTTCATGCATGTTAAGTACATAAAAATTTCATCTTAACATAACAAAAACGTGAAAGTTATGATTCGGTTCTCAGTCAGTAGATTTTAAAAGTACACGAACATTTATAACGATAAAAATAAATTGTTATTATTATAAAATTTTACAAAAGTACAAAGATTCAACATTTCAGATGAGTACATTTATTTATTATAGTATTTTTGAATTATTTAAATATACTTTTTTGTGGTCGCGGTGGCGCAACGGTTGGGTTGCAGTTCCGTCGGTCTTCGAGATAAGCTGCATTCGGCGCGGTTAGTACTTGGATGGGTGACCGTCTGGTGAACATTCAGGTCTCGCCGTTTCGCTTGTGCTCTTGATTCTCGAGGGTCGATTAACTGTTTCTCTTTCGCTTCGACATCGTGATCATAGGTGTGACTATAAGTTGGTCCAGATGTTTATATGCGTATAAACATTTGGTCATAACTCAGGTGCAACGGTGGCTGAAAAACACTATTCTTGTGTAAAAAAAGCCATATCTGAGCGTACGGGCGATGATGAACAATAAAAAAAAATATATATATATATACTTCGTATTTCGTGCATGTGTATTTATTTGATACACGTTAAATTACGTTATAAAATAAGGTTATACAACAAACGAAATCTGTCGTAAGATAATCAACTTTTCTCTTTGACGCTGTGACGATCTGCTGGCTTTTTCTTTTCATACAACCGTGGCCTTAACTACGCATGTAATAGGTTTGTATGGAAATTAGCTTAAAGGTGTTTGGACTGTGGACAGAGGAAATATGTATAATACAATTAGGTGCATACATTTTATTCTTATGTTTGGTAATTTAAAATAGTGTGGGGGTTGTGGGAGACAGAAAAAACCTGTGGGGGATATTGGGCATCGTGGAGGGGTGTGTGAGAGCTAAAAGTAGGGATACCATATTTTAGCTATGTTAAAATTACGTAAAAAACGATCAAATTTTACTTTATTTTGTGGGGGGGGGGGTGGACTATTTGTAACAAACTCTTTCTTGTAGGGGGACATGGGGGGCGTAGGGGGGATAATTGTGACTACTTTACATAAAACAACTATGTATATACTAGTGGGTTTTGCCTCCTGCGTTTGCTGCGTGCCAGCATCCAGTAGACTTTGATTCATTTTAAAAACCACATTAAAATAATCAACATTTACAAACTTTTTTAAAAACATCTATTGATACTTCTGATTACTATTGATAAATAAGTTATTATTATTATTATTATCATTATTATTATTATTATTATTATTATTATTATTGTCATTGTTGTTGTTTTTGTTGCTGTTGTTGTTGTTGTTATTGTTATTGTTGTTGTTGTTGTTGTTGTTGTGCTGACAAATTGATAACTTTTTTTATTTTGCAATGTTTTTTCATGAAGTTCTTTCGACTTTTAGTGTGTTCGACGACTTGTGTTATCAACGCCATGTTATATTTAAGGCACATTTTTTGGTTCCACAAAAAGACTTTTTGGTAATAATCTCCACTGTTGTTATTATTTTACCATATTATATAATTTAAAAATTACGCGTACGTACATCGTATCGTACACACATTTACATAATAACAACAAAAAAAGATCAAGGTATCTGTCTATTTGCCTCATGAGTGATGTGGTAAATATAGACAAAAAAATACTGAATCGGATTAATATTGCAAGGAACAATTGACCGAGATTGTATTTAATAAATCTCACATAGAAGTAAAAAAATGTTATGACTTCTTATGAGAGGAGGCTAAAAAAGGGGACAAAAAAGCGTTGGAAGAGAATGAGGAAGGCAAGTAGGCGTAAAAACAAATTGAGTGGTGGTGAGAGGATGGTAAAGGGGTTATTGGGTTATTGGATTATTGAGTGTTGGTGAGAGGGTGATAAGGGAGTTATTCAAAAATGTTATTGAGTTAATTTTTCATTGAAATAAAACAATTTTTTCGTGTTTTGAGGGGAGCGAAGGGGGCCTGAGAAAGGCTAAAAAAGAGTAAAAAGAGAATCAGGAAGGGCAAGCAGGTACAAGATCAAATTGAGGGGTGGAGAGGGTGGCTGACGGGAAGTAGTAAAAAATTTCACCGTGTTAATTTAACATTAGAATAAAAACAGTTTCGCCTTGTATGAAGGGGAGGCTTAGGGGCGGCTAAGGGGACTGAGAAGGGTTAAATTATAATATGGAGGGGCTATATAAGATGAATTTCTTATTGAAATAAAAAAATTTTTGAATGGGGGGGAGGGGTGAAATGTGAGTGAGGGAGGGGGGAGGAGGGCAGGTGTGGACAACCACAATATAGGAAGCTATTTATGTATATAAAATTGTACGGACAAAAGTGCAAAGACTCAGCGCCCTTTAATTAATATGGTTGATTCCTCGTTTTAACGTGATTTTTAATACAATTATATTTGAGCAAGCTTCTCTCGCTTCCTCTTAGCTCCCTTCATCCTCCCATTGACTACCCCTTTACCTTCCCTCAAGATTTATATACATAACATTTCTATGCGAAAATTTGTATAGATATTATCATATTATTTATTAACACCTTTATACGTAGCACTATCCATGCCATAATGAGTTTTTTTAATCTAATTTACTTGAAATCTTAATGTTTGAAAAAATTTTTTTATCGCGTGAAGTTAGGATTACGTTTCTAACCAAACAGTTGCTGTTATTGCCAAATATTTCAGTACAAACATCATGTGTTATCCAGGATTTAGAAATTCTAAATAAATCTATTTTTTTTCTCCAATTCTTAACAATAATTTTGAAAATTTGTTCTTGTTTGAAAAAATATTATTTTATAATCTGAAAATTTTAAAGTAGTTCAGTAAAAATGATAATTTTATAGTTTCGTCTATTATTACAGTTCTATTGCCGTTTCTTACAACAGGAAAAATTGTCAGAAATTTACACCTAATACTACTTATTATTCATCAAAGCAACGTTTTCTATTACACAAGTATCGCCACGTACTATCAATGATTTGTAAATATTTTTTTCATAGTTATAAAAGTCTTGTCCCGTATAATTGAATTAACTTCTCTTGATTTGTATTTTTTTTTTTTATCTTAGTTTTGAAATCTTAAAATGCACTCTCAATATTGTGTAAGTCTAGAGATAAACGGAAAGTTCTAGGACTGGTCGTACCTTTCGAAAGCAATTCAGATGCAGTGCCTGTCGAAGCCATGGACAGAATATTTTTATCTCTAGAAACGTAATAATAAATGAGTGTGTTAAATAAGTAGGTTTTTATTTATTATAATTTCCCTTTTCCTTCAAATTTTAAGTTTATTATCGACATTGTAACATTCTGGAATGCTGACATATTTTATTGATTTTGCAAAATCATCTTTTTTATTTAATTTAAACCAAGCTGTAAGGGGTGTTTGAAATACGTAGGGGGGCCCACTAGTGTATATATGTACATATTTGTGTGTGTACATAATATATTATAGCATAAAAGCAGTTCACAGATATAAACTTTGTACCATAGGAGTACAAGTGGTTGTGTTTCTGGAGATCAATGCATAACTGAACTCCTACAGTATGGGCGATGCGTGCCTTCTAACCCAAATTTTGTACGTATATACTATAGTGGAGCATTGAATGGTGGAAGTTTGAAGGAGTGGACTGTCTAAACCCTGACGTCTGGATTTGGAGAGCCTGAGCTTGAGCTTGCAGTCATAAATTTAAGGTATATATGTGTATATGGTGCATACATCTATTTAATCACCTAAAGTATACATTTTAATTAAATATATGTAATACTTGGAGAGTCCAAACGTTTGGGCTCAAACAGCCCTCTCCATCGAATTTATGCAGCTTAATGCTGCACAGTACTGTATGTGTAAAAACTGTGGAACGAGGTGAGCCTGATTGATTCGTACTATAATAGCGCAGTAGGGTTCTGAACTGTTATGGTACAAAACTTTTCTTTGTTTAGCGTAAGAATAGCTTTAATAAGGAAGGGGTATAGAAAAAAGCGGGCGTTTTAATGGACTGATATTCGCTCATAATAGTGCTACAACAAATGTCGACACATCCAATGTCGAAGCAAGGCTGCGAGACGACTTTTCTCACGGATAAGAGATTTTAATAAAATAAATTCATTCATAATTCGTGCATTCATTTATTAAATATCTGAGAAACACATTTATTAACCATAATAACATTAAAATACTCATTCAAAATAATTTGTCGTGAGAAACTGTAATTTGGGTTCTTAGTGCATCTATCTTCATTGGCTGTGGTGAAGATTGAACTACACTTCACACTTAAATTTATATAATTTTTGTAACAGTTACTATAAAAAATTAATCATTTACAAATGTTTTAAATAAAATTATTTAAGTAGACGTTACTCTTTAGTAAATTGTGGATACTAATTGACTTTATTAGTACCACAATAGGCTTAGACAAATTTTCAACAAAAATGATTGAACACTAGTTGAATAAATTAACTTTTAGCCAATAAAAAAATACTATTTAAAATTTTTGTCATAGAAAATTTTTGAAATTAATTATTGCTTTATGTTTTTGGGTCCACCAAGTGTACATCTTATAATTTCCAATGACAAATCATTTGATAAAATGCGCTACGTAATGAACTGAAAAGTTTAACTGTTTAATATGGAAAATTATCCAATAATTTCTTACCAAGACAGGTGTTACAAGCTACCATAACAGTTAAATCAGTATTCCTATTTACTAAGGTTGTACCTTTTCAAGGCTTTTTTTTTGTATGTAATACGTACGAACAATTCGTGTGATGCGCATACTGTTTTATTCGACTTCTCTACTCAAGTTTTCGTAAATTAGCGCGTAACACATTTTAATTAAAAAAAGTTTTTATATGAGAAATTTTCTTTACAGAAATATCTCAGGCACGACCTGTTTTACATACTTCATTAATGCAGAGAATGACTGACGTCCTGACCAGAATGTTAAATGATCCAGCAACTCGAGCTGCTTTGAGTGGTGGTGGTGAAGATAGTTTTGAAGGTGTCATGGATTCTCAAGTAGAAAGTATGCAGCAAACTCATGAGAACGTGAACGAAGTAGTTGAAGAAAGAAATAGTAGTGTGAATGAAGAAGAACAACAGTCTGAAATTAATAGATCAACAAACAATGTCATTGAAGTAAATACCTCTGCATTGGTATCTACATCCAATCTTGAAATTGGGAATAATGAAGCTGTAGATGGAGAGCCCGTGAATCTAACGGCAGTTGCATCAGTTCAGTGTGAATCACAACTTCTTACGAGTATTAATTATAGTCACAAAACGAGGAGTCATAACTCACATGTTTCTAATCAACCTTGCAATGTCAGATACAGTACTCTACAATCTGAGGTCTTTAGCAAATCAAATGCAACCAAAGTAGAACCTTCTACCATTGAAAAAAAAGGCATGATGGAGAATCTTCAAGACAGACTAACCACCATAAGGGATAGTTTCTTGGAAAGGTACACTAAGATTAATTATCTTACGATTTAACGATTAATATTATAAGGATTAGAATACCTTATTCGTTTTTTAATTTTATTTATTTTTTATTTAAGACATGGTAGTGAACCAACTGTGAAACTTACTTATTCCGATAAAAGTTCAACTAGTACAACGATTTTGCTCGGGGTTGCAGAAGAAGTGAAACGAGATTCTTGTAAAGGTAATTTCATTATTTTAAATAGGTTTACATCCTCTCCAATCCATCGAATTCTTGCGTTTTGAACTTTTTGTAAATGTTATGATCTTGTCAAGCCATACCTCTTTAATAAAACCACATTTCAGCTAAACTTCACATTAAAATATTTCTCTTTGAAAATTAAAATTTACTATTGAAAGACTGTAGTGTTACGTATGGAAGATATTGGTGAGGAGGTGCGTCGGGAGAATGACCGACACTTGTTATTTTAAAGACCTTTATTCAATACACCGTAATCATAGGCAATGTAGTGCGTGTGTTTCCTTCGAAGGCTCGTTGATCTTTCCTTCTCTTGACCCTAGGGCCCCTTGTTACGAGATTTAAGGAGATGGAGCGTAGAGTCTCATCTATACTTTCGTACGTTAGACGTCCGAGGCCACAACGTCGTTGCCCTCAACGACGCTGACTTTTTACTTTACTTAGAGTCTGTATACTTGTTTGCAATTTTATGTGTGTTTGTAATGTTCTAAGTTCTGTTGTTTATGTTGTTTATGTAGTTTAGTATTTCACAATCATTCTTTCATTCAATTGTAGAGAACTGCTGTTCTCTTTACATTAATATTTTTGCTCTGCCAATGATTTAGTTTCCTTTCATCGTAGTCTGAGTGTATAACAATATTGTTTATGTATGCACTTTGCTTTATATTACAATTATATATAAAATTTCCGCAAAGTGGGCATCTGCTTAACACTATTTTACGTTAGGTATTTTTTCACATACTACATATGTATAGGAATTATACGTAACGTTATTTAACATGGATATTTATTTTACAATTTCGCATACGCTTATTTGTCATTCGTTTATTTATCAAAAAAAAATTTATATACAAGTTTCTAAGTTTCTTATCATCATTATTTAAGAAAAAAGAAAATTCTTCCTTATCTTCGTCCTACGGACTGCGCCCCCCCCCCCCCAGTAAAGTCGAGCGACTCCTGCCGCTTAAATCTACTTATTTTCTTATTAATTTATTTCATGTGTTTTGATGAACGATAGTACTATTTGTATATAATTAAACTCAACATAACTTTACTATCATGACGTATTTTGAAAAAAAGAAAATTCTTTCTTGTCTTCGTCCTACGGACTGTGCCCATCGACTTCCGACGCTTATTCTTGTCTACTTATTATTGTTATTATTGTTAATATTATCCTTACTAGCAGCCCCCCGTCTCGGCTTCGCCCGAGACTTACTAAATAAAACACCGTAGTAAGTTGACATGTAATGTAAAACATTTTCAGTTCGAAATTTTACACATATTCCTGATTCATCTCAGAACAAAAATTTTCTTATTAATGATGTGGTGATCCAGATTAATATTTAATAGAATAAAACTTTAGTTTTAAGCTTCATTTGGAACAGTTGACCTAAATTGTTAACGATTTAATTCAATAAATACTCAAACGCTTATACTAAAAATCGATCTAAATTTATACCATCAGAGAATTAATAGAGAAATAGTATAATATGTTATACGTACTAAATAGTAAAAAAATGAATGTTTTTTTATGCAAACGTTGAAATTTCAAATTGAACAAATTTTGAATTCTTCAGTTAACAACTTGATAAAAAAAATTTCCAAGTACAATAGATTATCAATGACTCACTAAAAATAAACTTGCTGTTCTTCTAATTCGTGAGGATTAAGTTTAGTTGAATCTGGTGAGATATTAAGAGTCGTTTCAGCATTAGAATCCAGAAATTTCAAGCATTCGATCAGCTTTTAGTGTAGTGGCGTGGTCGACTGGCTAAAAAATATACGACGTGTACGTGTTTTTAAAAAATAAGAGAGGTCGCTGAATTTTTCCACATAAAATTAATTCGTCGAGTGCGTCGAGTATTTCTCAAAAAATAATAAACGTCTAGCTTCACTGACTTTTTTTTTTCTTTAAGTCCACATTCGTTCTGGACTTGTTTGTGAACGAAATATGAGGTATTTATCGTGGCAGATAAGTAATACACTAATTCAAGTTCAACGTTAAGTACATCTATATGAGTATATCTAACTTTTAACTTTCAGTTTACTCGGGTTTTTTTTTTTTTTTTTTTTTTTTTTTTTTTTTTTTTTTTTTTTT